AGAGAGTCGCTGCGTGGAAGGAAGCTTAAAGCTTGTGAACTCTTCTTGAACCGAGATTGGAGTCATATGGGCCATAAATCATTGAGACATACTCTCCGCCATTCACAAACTGATAGCCTATTTCAGTCCAGCTTACCTTAGCCACCGATGAGGGGAGAACAGGCAGACATAATATATATTCACATCGAGCCCCAGCGCGAGCGGCAGGCGAGAAATCTCCCCTCCTTGAAGGCAAAGGAAAAAAAGACCACTGTTTAAAGCGGCGTCGCCCCCCTCCCCAATAGCCACCCCGGCTGGGGAGCCTGAGGGGCAGACCGGCCGGAGGAGCCGCGCGGCGTCCGCTTCAATTCACTCGGCTTAGGAGCGGGGGTGCGCAGGAGGGAGGGGGTGGGGGAGCGGGGAAAAAAATAGAAGAAGACCAAAAGGTGCTCGGGCGGCTCAGCTCGCTGAGAATCCAGCTCCGGGCTCCGGCACGGCCAAGCCGCCACAGTGTGGTTGCCCTATAAGACTGGTACGCCCTACTCTCCGTAACAATGGCCTCTGCTTTTGCACAGGGAAAAAAACCACACAGACACACACACTCACACACTCACTCACACACACACAAGCTCACACACACCCCCACCTCTCCCCCTTTAGCAAGCTTAGATGCCTGATAAGGAAGGAAGGTGATGGTGGTGATGGGAGAGGGGGAACATTTTGAACCCCCCCTCAATTAAAAAAAGAAAAAGAGTGCGAAAGGAAAGGAGGTAGAGGTTTTGAGTTTTGTTTTTGTTTTTTAAGGACAGGTAAATTTTTAAATTCAGATTTTGGCGGGGGAGGAAGAGGAGCGCAAAGATAAGGCAAAGCCCGTGGAGTTCACAGCTCCCCCCAGCACCACTAGTAAACCCTTCCTCTAATTGGAGAAGTAGCTTGGGAGGCCCTGGGGGGGCGTTTCCTGGGTGCCCCTCTGCATTCATTCGCAGTGGGAACACTGGGACTTTTTTTTTTTTTTTAAGTAGTTTCACTCTTGCGGGACTGGTGGCTGCGTCTCTGGCCCTCTGGCTCTGTCTCCCTCCTTCCGAGTCTCCCATAGTCTCCCAGTCTCTGTTTCTTCTCTCCCCCACACCCTCTCTATTCCTCCTCTCTCCCGGCAAATCTCCTGGCCCAGTTTCCAACGTGTAGGGGGGGGTGGGAGCCAGACCTCTCTTTTCTTTTTAACAGACCCCCCCCAATCTGAGAGCAGACAACAAGCGCTGAGTGATTATTTTAAAAATCCAGACCGTCTTGTAGGGGGAGGGGGGTTGAGGAGAGGGTGACAAAAGGAGGACCTTGTGTTTAGCTTGAGTTCCAGACACGACTGCCAACAGAGAGGCTGTAAGAACTGCATGAAGAAGTTTCTGTTGAGATTCTCACCTCTGGATAGGCAGAAGGGGCTAAGAGGTGATAAGGGCATTTGTACTTCTAAGAAGATGAGAAGAACCAGCAAAATGGCTTAATTTTAAATGCACTGGCAGAAGAGATGGAGGAGAGTTATTTATATTATTATTATTCAGAACAAACCTGTTAATTTCTCTTAGCTCTACAAGATTTAGGACTCTTGGAACAGGTGAGGAAGACTACAAAAGCTCAACTTATCTTCGAGTGTGTTTTACAAGGGCAGGAAAAGGCGAGGAGGCCTGTAGGAGGAAGACAGGAGGCAAGAATGTAGGTGTCTGCAGATTTGGGGTGGGGGTGGGGAAGAGCCGTTCCTGGAGGAGGAAAAAGACAAAAAGAGCACCAGGACTTTTCCAAAAGCAGGAGTGTCTGCAACTCTGCCGAACTGCTGACTCGGGCTTAGAGGATAAAATAGAAGGCCGACAGTCTCTCTATTCTACAAAGGCAGCTTGGAAAACTTGTTCTCTTAACTTCTCCGTAGACAGAGCCAGCCACTACCTTGTGACATCCTGGTTAGAATCCTTGGCTTTTGCCTTCTCCCATCTGGATGCACCAGGAGAGAAGGGACTGGGAGAACAAAGGTGAGAGATGGTTTCCAGCTATTGTCTCCCCTCCAGGCGAGGGTGGCTGTGTCTGGCAAAGCTTCCCTCACACCCCATAGCTCCCCACTCACAGGCTTTTCTTTGGGCTGAGAAAGGGTCCTACTATCTACTCTCCTACTCTCATAGGGGGTGGTCCCTGGCTTCCTCCGGCCCCCACTTCTTTCAGGCCCACTAAATCAGGCTTCGTGGGCTGCAGCAGCCGGTTTCCTGGGGCCCTGCTGAATGGGGGTGGAGGGGGGGACCCATGGCCTCTCTACCCTCCAGCAAGGAACTGCATGAAGAGTCTCCCACTGTGATGTCCTGAGGATCCTGCCACCTGCCTAGAGAGTTGGTGGCTGAGGGAAGTGTGGTGGGGAGGTGAAGACGGAAGGTGGAAGCCATTTTCTGTATTTATTAGTAGTATCAAGGAAAGAAAATGCCCAAGCCAGACCCAGTTCTGGTGCTTAAGCCAGGACCCTCAGAGAAAGCAGTCAGGGCTACAAAGAATCTGTCCTGAGATCTCTGGACCCTGGTTAGAGACCTGCTGGATTGGACCTTATGTAGCTTTGGGCCTGGTGGGTCAGGGACTCGCCCATGGCGGCTTCTAGAGGCTTTTAGAGAACAGCACCTTTGGGTCTTTTCCTCCCCAAATTAAAAAGTCAAGAGTGTACCTCAGACCCTCCAACTCTCCTAGCTGTTTCTACCACTAGCTAGAGAAGGTCATTGTGAAATTAAGAGAAGAGGAGGACCTGTTCACTTGTGGGACTGCACAGCTTTGCCCCAAGGAATAAAGAGAGCCCAGGGGGCACACAACTAGCTGCGGGCCTGCAGGAGGATTGGCCTGAAGCTGAGCTGAGGGGAGAGGACTTTTCCAGAGACAGCAGTGGACCCTCCCCACTCGGAGCTTCAACTCATGTGGTCCCCTCTGGCTACACAAGGAGGTGGGGTGCAGTGGGGTAGGAGCAAAAAGGAGGGCTGGGAGCAAGAGAGCTAACCTGGAGAAGATTTTCAGAGCACACATACCCCCAAATGTGGTAGGAAATGGGGTAGGGGCTTCTTAAGGAATTCTGAGAGCAGAGCCCATTCGAAATGCTTGCGACGCAATTAGATCCCCGTTCGGTTTCTTTCCTGCCTTTTTAATCCCTTTCTCGGAGATTTCTGGCTGGCCAATTGCCCCTGTTTGGGGCTGGGAAGGTGGCGGGTGGATGGTAGAACTGGCAGCACCAGGACACCCATTTTGTTTGCGGTGTTGCTGCAGGCTAGGGACCTTCCAAACTTCAGGGGATAGGGCAGGGGCAGTAAGGAGCCTGGGCTGGGACCTTGGGGTGGGAAACACCAGAGGGGTCTGAGGGAAGACTTTGAGGTCTGGAAAAAGGAGGAGAGAGGGATTTATCACCCCTGACAGTGAAGTCGTGATTTAGGCACAGACTAGAGAGAGAAGAGGGAACGATCTCTTCCTGGATTCAAGGAAGGAAACTTGAGCACCTTACCATGTGTGAGAGACAGAGAGGGAGAGAAAATGAAAAAGAAAAATTGAGAGAAAGATTAAGACACAGATAACTTACTGTAATCTAATAAGGGCAGAAATTAACAATAAAGGCAAAAATCAGAGAAAATGTCCCCCTTCATAGACATTCTTTCCTCTCAGATTCAGTTTCCCCAGAGCTGGACCACTCGCTCCCGCACTCCCCTCCCCTATTCCTAATCTGTACCCAGTACCGGGGACGGGCCCTCAAAACCCCCTTGAGGGATCACTGGGCGCCCATCCTTCAAGGCCTTGGGGGATCATGTCTCTCCCCCAAAAAACCATCAAAGAGCAAACGAAAATTCTCCTCTCACTAAGGACAAACTGGCTGGCTCCCTTAAAATCGATTTCTGATATCAGCCTTTGGGATGACCAAGGATTCCCCCCTCCCCCAAGCCCCCAGCTCAGCGAGCCCCAAATTCGCCTGGCCCGCTGGGCTCCCTGAGAAGCCGGGACCTGGGAGTCGGGGAGGGGGTGGCGGCAAGGCTTTTAGCGATCTCTTTCTTTCTGGTCCTGTCTGGGTTCCCGGTCCCACACTCTTCCAGCTTCACTGCCCAACTTTGTGGCCGCGGCAGAGTTGTGAAAAGTTCACACACACACACCCGAATCTCCACCGCTTTTAAATATTAATAAAGATTTCCAAGCTGGGTGTTGTAAAATGGGAATTGCTACTGCAAATCGCTCTTGGTATTTGGATCCCCAACTCCCACCTCTCTAAGATGCCCGAGCGGGAGGGAACAAAGGGGATGAGGAAACGAGAAGATTCCGCGCCTGGGCGGAGGCCCGTGTAGACCCGGCTCAGTAGAAGCTGAGATTGAAAGAAGAAAACGGCCGCTAAGATTGGAGAAGAAAAATCCGAGCTGCACTCTCCCCTCACACCAGGCGTGGGAGCGCAAAAAGGAGGCAGGACAAAACAGGGCAGCCACGAGGGTTTGCAAAGTCTGCTCGGTGACCAAGGAGGCCGCGCCAGGGGCTGATGGTGCTTAAGACCAAGTCGGGAGTTGGGAGCTGGCGGCGCCTGGATGGGAATGAGCCCGACTGAATTGGGGGTCCCGCCTCATCTAGAAGCTCTGTCCTGCCCTGGCAAACCCCACCCTGGGCGGATGTCGAGACAAAGGTGGGCAGAGTGGAGAAGGCAAGAAGGAGAGGGGAGAATCTTGGACAGCTTGGGGAGGGGTAGGAGTGGGGGTGGGGGTGGGGTTTGCTGGGGAAGGAACAGAGAAGCAGACAAGAGAGGAACAGGACGCAGCCCGCTGCAAGGGACTGCGCAGGTCTCTCCTGACAGATTGGATGTCTCTCCCAGTGACCTCTGTTTAGCAGACAATAACTCACCGGATTAATGACCAATCAGGAGAAGGCCTTCCGAATTGCCTCCGAATATAAAAAGTCAGAATGGGATAGGGCCAGAATCTGGGCCTGCCGGCCCTTTTGGTTTTTTCTTTCTCTCTCTCTCAAATAGGGTTTGGGGTGAGGCTCTAAGAAATGGATTATCTGGCCAGAGACTCTGATCCCCAGAACCCCAAAGATGAATTTGTTTCTTATCTCTTCCAACTTTCTCCACCAGAATTCATATCCTTGACCGCACTTCCCAAGGCAACCTGGAAGCCTCTCCTCCTCTGCTGGCCTCCTCATATCCCTGATCCTACAAGAAATCTCCCTTCTCACAACCATGCAACTTCTGAGAAGCCCCCATCTCTTTTGA